GACTCAACATTGTTAAAATGGTAATTCTTCCAAATTGATCTATAGATTCAAAACAATTCTATCAAAATCCCAGGAGTTTTTTTTTTTGCAGAAACTGACAAGCTGATCCTAAAATTTATATAGAAATGCAAAGGACCCAGAATAGCCAAAACAATTTGAAAAAGAACAAAGTTGGAGGATGTACACTTCCTGATTTCAAAACTTAAAATAAACCTTTATATATATTGTCAATGATTTTTGACAGAGGTACCAAGGCAATTCAATTATGGAAAGCACAGTCTTTTTAACATATAGTGCTGAGACCACTGGATATCCACATAAATTTAGATCCTTACCTCACACCATATACAAAATTCAAAATGGTTCATAGACCCATATGTTAAGAGCTAAAACTATAAAACTTCTATAATAATAACACAGAAGAAAATCCTTTGGGACCTTGGGCTAGGCAGAGAAATACAGTACTAAGAGCAAGATCCATAAAGAAAAAAACCAATAAACTGGACTTCATTAAAATTTAAAACATATGCACTTCAAAAGACACAATTAAGAAATTGAAAAGACAAGTCACAGACAGAGAAAATATTTGCAAATTGTGTCTTACAAAGGACTTGTATCCAGAATATATTAAGAACTCTTACTACTCAAAAGTAAGAAAACAACCCAATTAAAAACTGAGCAAAAGATCTGAACAGACATTTCGCCAAAGAAGATATATGAATGGCCCATAGGCACATGAAAAGATGCTCAACATCATTAGCTATTAGAGAAATGCAAATCAAAGCCACAATGAGATATCACTTCATACCCACTAGAAAGGCTATAATCAAAAAATACAAAATAACAAGTGTTGGTGAAGATGTGGAGAAATCAGAACTCCCATATATTGCTGGTGGGAATGTAAAATGGTGCAGACACTCTGGAAGAGTTTGGCTGTTTCTTAAAAAGTTAAACATAAACTTACCATAAAAGCAGCAATAGCACTCCCAGATAAAGACCCAAGGGAAATGAAAACATGTCCACACAAAGACTTGTACACAGTGGTCACAGCAGCATGTGAAAACAATCCAAATGTCTATTAACTGGTGAGTGAATGAACAAAATGTGACATAGCCATATCACAGAATATTCCCCAGCGATGAAAAGGAAAGTCACTACTGATAACATGCTACAACATGGATGAACCTCAAAAACATTAAACTAAGTGTGAAAGAAGCCAGATGCAAAAAATACATACTGATTCCATTTATATGAAATGTCCAGAAAAGGCAAATCAGAAGGGTAGAATGTGGATGAGTGGTTGCCCCAGGCTGGGGGCAGGAAAGAGATTGATTGTAAATGGACATAAGAGATCTTTTTGAGGTGATGGAAATGTTCTAAAATTGGTTGTTGTAATGGTTGCACAACTTTGTACATTTATTAAAAAATCATTTAAGTGTACATTTAACTGGGTGAATTTTATGGTAGGTAAATTATACCTCCTTAAAATCGTTGGGGTCGGGGGAGGGAACACGCTCTAGATTCAGACTGCTTGGACTCAGGTCCTGGGTCTATTACCTCTGAGCTGCGTCACTTGGGGTAAGTTACTTCAACTGCCTGTGCCTTAGCTTTCTCATCTGTACACTGGGAATCATAGTAGTACATACTTCATGGAGTCATTGTGAGAATTAAATGAGTTAATATGGGTACAATGCTTCGCACAGTGCCAGACACACAGAAAGCCTTCAGTAATGTTAGCTATTTTTCATATTATGATTATTATGATTACATTCAACCAGTTATCACGTCTTGCCAATTTTACTTAGTAATTAGTTCTCAAGTTAATCACCTTTTCTTCGTAACTTCCTCCCTGGCCCTCAGCTCTGCACCACCTCTTAGAACACTTGCCGCAGTCTTCCTAACTTCCTCCAGGCTCATTCCCTCACATCAGGCCTCCGCAAGCTCCAGGTTCAATGGCATATGAGGCCCTCCCCATCTGGTGTCCTGTGGAACCCCCACCCCCACCCCACATACACATCAAAGTGGCAAACCTGCTCTCTCAGATCACGCAGTTGCTCACACCATCCTCTCTGGGGAAATGCCCCTCCCCTCCATTTTGTCCATCTACTCCATTAATCCTCTCAGGCTCAGCTGAGGCAACTCCCCCACATGCCTTCCCTGACCCTCTTGAGCTGTGGCCTTTCTGTGCCTGTAATAATCACCTGTGCATATCTCCAACATTGGACTGAGACATAGATTATAAAACACGTCTCTTATTTTGAAGCATGAGCCCAGCACAGTCCCCAGGACAACGAGCGCACTGTAGGTGCTCAATAAAATGTTGATTGGTCAGGTGAATGACCAGACTAAGTAGCACTTTCTCCGCTCCTCACATAGGGAAAATGCACTTAGGCTTCCAAACAGCTTCGGCCTTTTGTTAGCATGCCACTTAAGGAAAATGACAGAGGTTGTCTAGGAAAATGGAACTCTTAATAAGGCTCTACCTATTTTGAAGAACTGCTGTAAGCAGTAATGAGAGAAACTACAGGGTCACGCCACCTTCCATCTGAAGCCATTTATACTTTCTACAGCTGTCAGTAGTTCATCAAAATTTATAGAGATGGCAGGTAATGTGAATCTTTCCAGTGGAATTTTTCCTAACTTACCTGAAATCAGAGTTTCTAAACTCTGAAACTGATCTGTTAAGAATTTTTGAGATGGCTCATAGTGGGAATATAAGACAATCAACTTTAGAAGGATTTTTATTTTTGAAAGAGCTTAATTGACTGAGTGGGGAAAAAGATACAATTACCTGATGCCTGGGTTCCACCCCAGAGACTGTGATTTAAGTGGCCCAGGGTGGGAACCAAGGGGAACATTTTTTAAAAGTTCCCCAGATAATTCTGAAGAGCAGCAAAGGTTGAGATCCGTTCCTATGAAATCTAAAATTTGTTTTTTTTAAACAAATTTATATTATATTATTTATATATATTATAATATATAAACAAATATATATTATATTAAACACTATATTTCTCAGTGTTCTTATTTATAAAATGGCGGCAGTTATGCTTAGATTTATGGATAACCGAAAATCCTTCTGAAAGTACAATTCACAAATCAATGTTAAATGGAATCCTTTCTTCCTATTCTCAGCACACTGGATCAATGTAAAAGTAAAGTTTGACTTATTAAAACCACCTGGTCAATAGGCATTAATATCTATAATAGAAATGGACACTGAAAATCCATTAAGTGAACAATTAAAACAAAAAGAGATCGTAAAACCATAAACTTAACCCACAATCAAGTGCATACTAAAGTAATGCTGTGAGTCTAGAAGACAACTGAGAGTAATAATATTTCCAGAAGATTAAGCTATAGGTCCTCTGTGAATAAATCCCTATTTGTGGACATGGCATGTTTTTCTCTAATCAAGAAAATGAAAAGAAAAGAGATCTCAGCAAAGTACAGACTAGGTGCTGTTCTTGTGCTTGCATTATAAAGGGCCCTGAGGGAGAGATCTGAAAGGCTACAAATATGAAACTCAATTTTAAAGTTACACTGAGTATGACATAAAGTTTAGTATTAGAATCTTCCTAAAATGAAAAAAGTTAAAACAATCCCATCACATCCTGTAAACATCTATTTTTCTTCTCCAGAAACGTCCTATCGATTGAATCTCTTTTCGTTCTTTCAAGAAACATTCCATCATTACTGCTGAAGGACATGCCACCCCAAAATATGCCACTTTGGCCTAAGAATGACTTTGAGCTGAAGGCATTTGAGTTCCTGAAATCCCTTATTTGCCTAAAAGCAGAGCCTCCCCAAAGAACTCAATGTCATAAATCCCCTCCCAGGGCAACTCTAATCTCCTCCTCTGGCACCACACCCAGACATTGTCACAAACCACCAGGTCTCCCATCTATTGTCCTAAGGGCCCACTTACCTTTCCAAAAAGTCATTTGCTTCTCCGTTAAGTGCCTTTCTCTCCCGCTCCCACTAAGTTAGTTATATAGACTGCAAGTCTACCCGTCTCTGAGTTACTCATCACTGGATACCATGTGAATGCACGACGCTGTGTTAATAAACTTCTGTTTGTTTTCTCCTGTTAATCTGTCTTTTGTCAGTCCAATTTACAGAACCTAGAAGGGTAGAAGGAAAACATTTTTTTCCTCCCCTACAATACTCTGATACCTGATTTTACATATATATATATACACTCTTGTTTCCCAGCTTTAAAAAGTTGTCTATTTTCTTTACATCCTATAGGAAACATAAGCACCAGAGTCAAAGTTTTAAAAATCTTTGAGACTCTGGGTCTAGTTTCTTTAACTTTTCAAACTAAATATTAAAAAAATAAAAACTATACACAAGTGCTTATTGTGTTAGGCAAAACAGCTATGAAGAACAGACTTAATAATGGCAAAATATTTACACCATGGACATGTAGTTAGAGTAAAATCAGTCTCCACGCCACGAAAATCCTTACCAAATATGTTTTTCATAAATATATTTCAACCCACTTTACCAATATATTTCATCTTTTATCATTATTCCACTATTTATCTTTTATTAAAAGATAAATTTGAAAGAGCAAAATTGTATGGTGGCAAAATAACTTCAAATTAAATTTTCCTACTTTAACAGAGAGCCACATTTTATAATGACGAAGACTAGAAATAATACCTTATTGCTATTAATAATGGCAGATTAAGTAAAATAAAGGAAAGGTGACATAGTTTTAAATCCAGTACTACTGGAAATTAATAAAGCATATAACACAGAACTGTGATCCACATAAAGTCATGCAGGCAAACACGGGGAAGGTCTACTCAGTTAGAAGAGAATTAGGTTTAGAAGCATCCCACTTTTGCCATATGAAAAAAGCACATAAAAGACACAAAACAAATATACTTATTACTTTTAGCATGTTAAAAATAATCACATCAAAAAAAGTATACAGATAAAAAATGTCATAGATGACATAAGAAAATAGTGTGTGTATATATATGTTTTGCATATATATATATATATATATAAATCTACAGTATTTACCACTGTTGGTATATATATTTTGGAGCAGCCAGATGCTGCTATCATAAACTAAATTGTACAGCTTGGTTTATTGTAAGTCACAGAAGCATGGTTTGAAAATTGGAATTGATACCCCCAGCTACACTTGTACACATTTATGTCTAGGCTCCCACACGACTGGCATCAAGAGCCCAGGGCCAGCAGGACTTTGCTGGAGCTGCAGTGTGGCGCTTGGCTGCTCATACGCTGCCTTTCTTCTGCCATGTGATAACATCATTACCAAGCTGATTACAAGTACATTAGACTCATTATATACAGAAAAAATACTGTCGCACTCACTAGCTAAACAAATGTCACTCTCATTTTAAAAGACACTTCTGTACCTTGAAAGTTTCAAGCTCCAACTTGCAACAAGAGCCATCGATGCCAGGTTTTCTACTCTCTACTACTCAAATATGAGCAAAGCCATGTTGAAGACAAGCTCTCCAATTAAATACAAAGTCAGACTTTCTTGGAACGCCCAAAACTTTGTCAGTATTTTGGTAATTGTAGTGTAATAGAATCTATTTAAAGACATTGCTAACTTTTTACCATGAACCTGAATTTTTTTCACTGAAAAAGAAAAAAAGATTTTTGAAAGTCACACTCTGAAAAAAACCCCAAAATCTTAGACTCCTATTAATAATTAGGATCATTTTTTTATAATTTTACACAACGATAATTTAACAGCCTAAGTGCAGCAATATCCATTGACTACATTCTTGAAAGAAAAGAGTGCCCGAAAAAGATCATGTAAATGACCACCTGGGCCCTTTGTGGGGAGGCCCTGCAGGAATTTGAGGGGCAGAAGTCAGAAGTAACCACATTGTTAATCTGGCTTTCAAATGACTTTCAAAGGAGTTTGTTCTGCTGCCCTGTGTGAGTGCTTGGTGATCAGTAACTTGCAACTTCTCCTGCTGGCATCCACTGGAGAGTGTATTATAGCATTTCCTTTGCATCTGGCAAGGAACGTTCTGCTCCGAGCTTTGCAAGAGTCAGACCAGAAGAAAGGGCACAAATGCAGTAAAACTGATCTCACGTGCATGGATACACTGAGCATTGCACCTCTGGCCATGAACTTACTTTAACTGCCCCGACTTTTAAGCACCATTAAGTGGTCAGCCTATCTCTCCAATGTCTTTAATTTTCAGACTGAAAGAAAATGGCAGCAATTGAATGAGAATGATGAGCATTCTGCGAGATGTTAAATTAAGTCAGGGCAAACTCTGAAGTCAGTTTAAGACCTGGGTTAAAAATATAAGGAAAAAAAAAGTAACTAAAAAACAAGTTAAGAAAAAGAATAATAAATTATTCCATGGATCTAGATTAAAAGTAGTTTTTAAATGTTTCTTTAGTTCTGTGTTCAAATGTGTATGAATAGACGCCTATAACATCTGTTAAAAGACACATACACTACATATAGCCTTAAAAATACCTGTTCTACACAGACAGTTTTTCAGTGCTTTGTAACATTACTCAAAATAGAATGGGCTAATAGAGTAAAAATGTTCAGGTTTTGGAGAAAGATATAAATGGAACTGAGTAATGAATTATTATTGTGTGTGCATCCCTAAATGCTATTGCTATGTTTCCATGTTAAATTCCTTTTAACAGGTTTAGTGATGATGCAATTTAAAATGCTCATCTTAAGCAGCATCTATGTGAGGATGAAAACACTTCCATATATTCTTATTAGAATTGTGCGAGTTGTTTACAATAGTATAAAATACTGCTTTGGCCATTATAAACATAGCAACATGGGTTTCATATGATTTCTATTCTTTCGTCTTTAGCAAGTACAGAAGAATTCTCACAGCAATACTGATTCTTGAATAGAAAGTCCATCCCGATTTCTGTAGTGATATCCTGGAGGCGAGGGCCCTGAATATTGATACCCAGAGGAAGTGGCATCTTCTAAAGCTGGTGAAGTTCTATACCGCACTGGACTATCTACTGAAACTGCTGGGAGGTTATGGTCCTGAAAGGATACATGTTGAAAGGTGGAATATTTTGGTAAATTGCTTAAGTGGCTGCGGTTAGGATCTCGAGTCCACGATTGTCCATGCATCTCAGGTCTGTATGTGTAACTAACTTCTGACCATTTTCTGTTATCTGGCAAATAATCCACTGGAGGAATGATGAATTTTCCACTCTTTGGTGACCCCGAATTGCCCGAATATCCCCCAGCACCAATATCAACGGGAAGAACTTCTATTCGACTAGATGGTAGTACAAGAGGAGTTGGGCGGCTGTAAGATTTCTCTGGAGAAGTATCGATTGAAAGAGTAGAACCATAAGGTCTCCTGGAAGGATTCATTTGAGTCCTAGGGGTAAGCTGTGGAGACACAAAGTTGCTGTTAGCAGTAGGGGTGTGTTTTGGAGAATTTCCATGGTAAACAGGGGGATTACTGTAAGATGGTGGATGAACTGTCCCGCGATCTTCCCCATCTAGGTGAGGTGGATATTTTGCATAACTTGGAGGCTGCCCTTTAAAAGTAAACTTGTTTGATACTTTTGATGGACTAGAACTTGGCTCAGCATGCTTTCTTGGACTATGAGAGTAAACAATATTCCTTGGACTTTGAGAGTAAGCCCTTTCTAGAGCCTCTTCAATAGAAGCGCCATTTTCATTTTCAGGTACATTATCATACTGTGATGCAGTAGAGCCACGCTTCCCTTCATCAGCTTCCAACACCTTCATCTTTTGCCTTACATTTGATATCCGAGCATCAGCAGAACTAGGGATGGTGACTGTAAGCGTGGGGTGTGCTGATCTACTTTTGCCTTCGATGGCATATTTGGCAGTTTTTTCAATAGCTGAAATATCTGACGGTTTATTCCATTTGGGCACAAATTCCTTCCTGATATTTGAAGTCGCATTGCTATTTTGGTTAGCAGCTGCATGATTATATTGCCTGGAATTGTCTTGTGGACCTGATGGAAGTTTCCTTTGAAAATCGGCCTCTTCTTTAAGCTTTTTACCATCCTCGTCCGCTGATTTCTGTCTTAGCTGCCTTACTCGTTCTGGTGTACCAATTCTGCTTTGATGGTGAGGGGAGTGCTCATGTTTTTTGTGAGGTGATGAGCCACTTTCTCTTCTGCTGCTCATATGAGGACTTGACCTGCCAACACTTCTTTGTCCATTGCTCAGGTGACTAATGCCAGCAGACTGAGATTCAGGTGGAAGCTGTCCCAAAGGTTTCTTTGGAAATTCATCTTCTTTCGCTAAAGGGAAAGATACATTCATAAGTAACATAAATACATGAGTAAATAGTATCAAATATAAGAAAAAAATTATTATGAATAATTGCATACTTTTCATATGTGCACTCATACACATGAATACACATACATACACACCACAGAATTTCAGTGGATTAAGAGAAGCATTTTTTAGAGAAACTGACATTAAAACATACCAAAACTCAAAATCTTATTAGGCAGTATGTAGATGGGAATATTTTATAACCTTATGAGTAAAGTTCATACAATTGTGTAACACACGATTCCTATATTTTGTTAAGATATTTTGTTACCCGCTTTTTCAAGAACGCAAGGCTGATATTCTCATTTCTATTCCTAAAACCATCCTGTAAGTCAGTAGTTCAATGTCTTACCATTACATTACTTTCACGTTAGCCCACCTCAACTAAAATGGTTTTGAAAACTCAGTAAAACTTTTCCTATCAAGCAGGTCTGCCAAATTTAAAAATCAACTAATGACCAACTATGGTCTCCAAGTTGTCCCCAAATAGTTTATTATTATCTTAAGTACATTTCACAGTATAACTTCATGATAAAAAGAAACAGTATGGCTCTATTTCAAAGTTAACATTCTAAAAGGATCCTAACTTTAAGTGCAAAAAAAGAGAAGAATAAAAGAAACAAGAGAAAATCATATTGGATACCTTTAGTTTTATATTTTAAATAACTAACATCAGAAAATTAATGAGGAATTAAAGGAAGGTGCAATAAATTGCCATTTAGGAAACAGTCTTTAAGAAGAAACAATATCCTTTAAATAGTTAAGCTACCAGAATTAGAATTATTGAGCTAAAAGTAACCTTTGTGCTCTTCTAATTAAGTGGGTTTTTAAACTTTTTAAAAGCAGATTCTTTTTTTCCAACCAGATTTCATATGAGCCCCCAATATATAAAGGCAATAAAAACAAAACTGCTCTAGTTAAAGTGAAGGGGCTCAGGGTGCCTCCCAGTCACCCCTTTTTCCTCTTCTTCAACTGGGCAGCTTCTCAGAGCTCTACATTCCAGAGAGATCCAGTCCTGCCTGTGTTTTATAGCAGGAAAGCTGAGTCTCAGCGAAGCCAGGTGATCTTCAGTGCAGAAACTGAAGGAGAACCGGGACCCAGTATTTTCACTCCTAGTTCACTGTTTTCTTCCACTTCACCATGTTCACTAAACTCCACAGAAACTTCCGATGGTTTTAACTGAATTTAACTTTACTTTGACAATATTTGTGCAAGCTCTTTATTTTCTACATTTGAAAGCACACAAAGCATTAGGATTGACAATTACCATTTGTTTCATTCATTCATCCATTCAACAAATACACACCTATCAAGCAACTACCAGTAGCAGGCCCTGCTCTAGATGCTGGAAGTCCCTGTCCTTATGGAGCTGGCTGTGCACAGAGCTATGGAGACAGCGCCAGCACAAGGCAATCAGAATGACTGGGGTGGGGCAGGACAGAGCAGGGAGGAGTTCCAGACAGAACAAAGTGCTCTGTACCTAGAGTCGGAGACAGGCAGAGAGCAGCTGGGGACCAGGTCAGAGCACTAGAAGAGGCACATCACACAGGGCCTTGAAGACGACAGGAAGGACTCTGGGTTTTTTTTTCCAAGTTAACTGCAAACTACTAGAGGCTTTTCAGCAGGAGAGTAACATAATATGATGTCTATCTTATAAAGTTCACTTTGAATGGTGGGTTGGACTTACACTGTATAATAATTAATGATGATAAAAATAACAGTAATAGCTAATACTCACTTACCACTGTCAGCCACTGCTCTAAAAGCTGTACATACAGTGTTTAGCAACAGGCATATAACATAGGTCACTATTTTTATTCTCATTTTATAGATGATAAAACCGAGGCAGAGATGAACTAGCCCAAGGGCTCACAGCTAATAAGCGGCAGACACAGAATTCAAACCACGAGTTGATTCCAGAGCTTTCAATCTTTTTTTTTTTTTCGGTGAGGAAGATTGGCCCTGAGATAACATCTGTTGCCAATCTGCCTCTTTTTGCTTGAGGAAGATTGTCCCTGAGCTAACATTTGTGCCAATCTTCCTCTATTTTGTATGTGGGAGGCCGCCACAGCGAGGCTTGATGAGCAGTGTGTAGGTCTGTGCCCGGGATCTGAACCCGTGAACCTCGGGCTGCCCAAGTGCAGCATGCAAACTTAACCACTATGCCATGGGGCCAGCCCCCAGAGCCTTCAATCTTTACTCCCACACTATTCTATAATGGAAGTAACAAGAAGGGGTTTCTTCTCAGATATATGTTAAGCTAGGGTCCACAAACTTGCTCAAAGGTTAGATGTGAACCGTGAAGTTGAGCAGAGTAAAGGATGACTTCTTGTTTAAAGTCGGCAAAAAGACAGACACTATTCAGTAATGGTTGGCATAACCAACACTGTTCTTATATCTTTTTATATTAAAGACATTTTATGATATGTGGACAAATTATTTTAAGTGATAACCCAAACTTTAAAATACTTGTCATTGAGAAAAGTTTTCTTTGTTTATTTGAATGCTGTATGTGAAATAATCTGAAGCACTCCAGTTCAGCTTCGGATTAGTCTCATGAAATATCTGGAATTGAGGTAAGAAAAGTGACTCAAATGCAGCCTGAGTCAAGAATATTCACAAGTAGTTATTCAGCCTATCAGGTTAAAAACTAACAATAAAAATAAAATTAAATTCTAACTAGTGTCCCCCGAAAGTTTTTATCAGCTCTACAAATAGTTATCCATTTAGTCCCGGAAAAATATACAAATTCCTTCTTCCCTGTAGGCAAATAACCCCAACAAATACAAATTATCAAGAAGATATAAAGACCTATATAATAAAAAAACTGAATTTATGATTTAGTCCCCACTCTGATGATTTTCTAAGGGCACAACACGGTAATTTGAATGGCTAATCCAATGGCTGGCTGATATTCCGTCAGATAATAATATCAGCCAATCCTCAAGACAACCTTTTCAGGTTGATGAGTAGGAACCTGATGAAAAATATAACCATTAAAAAGAAAAGGAAAACAGTGGCACCCAGAGAGTGGTTAATTCATGCCTGCAAGATGTGCTGTTACAGAGACAAAATGGGATTAGTCGTAGAGATTCTCACACTCTCAGCCCTTTAAACTGCCGCCCTCCTCCACCACTCAGTGGCTCTTGGTAGCCTGCAGAGAGAGCCACCATTTTAGTTCATACAAAATAATTTAAAATGTTTAAAAAATTCTCCATAACAACATATTAAGCAGTGAAAGAAAGCTTCAAATGTTTCTCTTAACCCAGACTGCAGATGCTCAGATCCTGTTTTCAATATTTCAATCTATATCAATTCACAACTTATGAAAACTAAATTCACTTGAAATTGCCTGCTATGCATTGTTGAAACTCCCCAGTACGTGGAGATGGGGTTTGGGAGGTAATTACGTCATGAGCGTGGAGACCTCATGATGGGATTAGTGCCCTTCCACCCCTCCTTCTCCAGAGTGGAGTAATAATGGATGGGGCCACAAAGAGAGGTGTGATCTTCCCAGTTTTTACCTCCCCCTCTGCAAAGCCTCCTTAAAAAGTAGCCTTATTGCACCACAGCGTTCCTCCTGTGGTCAACAGTGGAGTGAGGCGTGGCCCCTGGCTGACCAGGGAGGAACCCACAGCTGGAGGAGTGGTGGTCACATAGGGAGCTCTGGACCACATTGGGACACATCATCTTTTTCTGCCATCACACCTTCCCAATATACCAGAGAGAGGTGACACATAAGAGGTAAGGAAAGACTGATGCTTGATTAATGTGTATGAAGTCCTGGACAGTGCCTGGCACACGGAAGCCCTCAGGAACGAGCTGCACACTCTGGGTCCTCTGAGGTGGGATTGGGCACTAGACTAAGAATGATTCACTAGAGAACAAATTTGTGTTTTTTCTCTTCTTCAGCAAGGTCTGTGCCTAGAAACCACCTCATTGTTATGGGCTGAATTGTGTCCCCTCAGAACTCACATGTTGAAGCCCTAACTCCTATACCTCAAAATGTGACTATTTGGAGATAAGACCTTTACAAAGGTAATTAAGGTTAAATGAGGTCACTGGAGTGGGCCTCTAACCCACTATGACTAATGTCCTTATAAGAGGTGATTAGGACACAGACAGGTATGGAGGGAAGATCATGTGAAGACACAGAGAAAAAATGGCCATCTAAAGTCAAGGAGAGAAGAAACCAACCCTGCCAACACTTTAATCTTGAACTTGCCAGCCTCCAGAACTGTGAGAAAATAAATTTCTGTTGTTTAAGCCACTCAGTCTGTGGTATTTTTGTTAGAGCAGCTCGAAATAAGACACCACCATGAGGTCTACATCTTAAATCCTAAAACTGATTTGCTTTACTAAATGCAAATTTTATGGATTGCCTTTTTCTGTTAGTAAAAAGTCACATATTTCATTAATTATGATCATCTGCTTTTATGGTCCTAGCACACTTTCAATGTCAACAATGTATTAAAACCAACCATAGTAATTAACATTTATTTTATATAACCACATCAAAAAGATAACAGAACAAAACAAATGTGGAAGGTGGACACATGCAGTAACAGATCCATAGGGGTAACTAGAATTCCATTACTTTGCAGACTCCTGCATGACGTTTTCCACGTCTTCTGGTCACCCACTTATTGCTAGGGATGGTCAATTTGAGGTGGGCTTCCATAGCGTTTTCCAAAGACATTCAGCTATAGCTACTTATTGATGATGATGAAGGTGAAAGGGCATCTTTGTCAGTGTGGTACCCAGAATTTAAGCAATATTCTAGGTTAGTATTTACTGAAACAGAGTAGAATGGGGTTTAATAAGGGACCAATGTGCTGGAAGAGATTTAAAAAAAACACTTTAGAGTGGAGGTGGAAGGACGAAAGTAGGGAGGAAAGAAGACTAAGAGAGAAAATTGAACATTTTGGGGAAAATAATGCCATATCACATACTGTTCC